ACCGAGTTCCGCAACATCAATTCCAGGGTAGTCATGGTCTCTTTTAACTACCTTCATTTGATCCTCTAATTTCTTGATTTTCTCCTCCATCTTCCTTGATTTGTCCTCTTCGTCTGAATCTGGCATATGGTAATAACCCGGATTGTTCTCAGGGTTAAATACAAAGGCCGGAGGCTTTGCTTTTGTAGCAGACGAGTCCCCTCGAAGCTCCGGTAAGATTTCAGGTGAGACAACTACCTGTGGGGTAGGTGGTATAGTTACCCCTTCCGGTGAACCTGCCCCAAGCACACTAGTCAGTTGTAAGCCAACTAACTTGGCAACGATCTGATCAACCAAAGACTCTTGGTTTTTCATGATTGCATTCAGAGTACTCAGACTACTCTGGTTTATCTTGTCTTCAAGTTCTTTATGCAATTTTGCCATGTTCTCCTCAATTTCTCCATTCTTACTTCCATCTTCTTCTTTTTCAAACGGGTGTTATGCGAATAGGGTGTGTCTAATGCTTGAGGTGGTATATCCAGTATGTGTTCCCTTTTGATGAGACATGCATATGTTAGTTAATGCAAATGTAAAGAAAAATAACAAAATGCAAAATATGTCTAGATGCATAATGCATGCAATGTTCGATGCATTAATCCAAAAATGTGTCTGTTATTAGAAGTAATTCTTATTGGGGACAAAAATGTTTTATCTTTTAAGAGACAAAAAATATTCTGACAGCTTCTGACATGTTGACTAGTCTTCCGTCTTCATCCATCACCGGTTGAATAACCTGTCGAACCGCTCTGGCTTCTCTGGATGAACCATGCAAATGAAGAGTTGTTTGCCCCAAAAAAAAGTCTCGAAGAACTGCACCTCCGGCATTTATATTTTGTTGAGCCTGTTCCCAACGAATACGTCATTGGATCCCTTAATTGATAGGAACTATGTGAAGTCAATTTGTATGTTTCTTGACTTCGTCAGCAATGGTCTCCAATTTCAGTTATCGTTTTGCCATTGTCGTCTTTGAAGTGACTCCTAAGCTCAGTGGCCTTCATCTTGCCCCTGCAATTTCTGCCAGTCAGGTCTTCAAAGATAGACTTTCATTGTGCTTGATCTAGACCCAGTTCATTGAGTCCTTTATAATGCAGTATAGTGATATACTCTTCAATTGCGGGCACCACGTCTTTTGGATTAAATGTGACACATAGTCTCCTTGTAGACTGTCATCTGCATTTTCATCTCTTGTATTACAACTCCTTTGTCCATTAATGCAGATTATTCATGTTTAACAAACACGTTTTTTGTGGATCAACACATCATTTTAAATGATGCAAACGATGAAAACAAAATAAAAAAGAATAAAAAATAAAAGGGTTAGTGAGGTAAATCAAAACAATAATAAAAAAAATCCTACCCCATATGATATCTACCCCACATGCTTTAATTCCTACCCGGACATGATCTCTATCCCGCATAACAAATCCTAACCGCATATTTGTCTAGTTCGCATGCTTTGAACAGAAAATAAAACAGGACACAAAGTAGCTTAGGGTTTGGAATGAGGTCTTGGGGTGGGCTCTAATTCCCTGTACTCTCCCAGTTTAAGTTCTAAAAAGGTACTCGAGTTCTCCTTGCTGGTGCCCTCTTGAGCTTGCCAGACCCTTAGTCCTAAGTCCATTACAAGCTTGTGTGGACTAAGTTAAACTCGAGAGGAAACATTCCCTTATGCCCATATAGAGAATAAATTCACATGAAGGCATAAGGTATATGAATCCCGAAGGCTACTTGCTAGGCCCGCACGGTGAATAAATTCACACGAAGTTGTCGCTTTCACCCTCACTTAAAAGGGTTCGTAGCTCGGGTATAGAGCTAGAGAAGACAATTTTGAAAAATCTGAAATCATTAAAAAACGTCAGTACAACTATTTATTTGAAAAATAATCAAAGATAAATAATTGGAATCGAATAAATAAATTTAAATTTAAATTTACCATTTTCGCATAAAAAGACAACCGAAAATTAATTTCGGCCTAACTCACTTACCTGTCCCCAGTGGAGTCGCCAAGCTGTCGGAACCGACTTTCGGTTGGGCCCTGAAATTGGGCTTCGTCTTGGACTAAACGAATTAGAGTTGCCACCGATCACTTTAAAAAACATTTAGGTGGATCGGACACCATCTTACTTGATCTGCGTTTTACCAGAAACGTGTCGAGTTCGGGAGTCGGTTACGGTCAAAGAAGGACTAACACCCTTGAACCGCCCTTTCGGTACCAATTAATTTATCGGTTGCCTTGATTGCAAAAATTTGAAATTAAAATTAAAATTTAAAATTTCGATTCGAATTGCTTACCTCTGATTGATTGAAATTCTTCCAAAAGAAAAATAAAAAAAGTTAGATGACAAAAAAAGTAAATAAATAAATAAATAAGAGAGGAAAAAGAGAAATATAAATGAGAAAAAAAATTAAAAAAAAACACAAAAAGTAAGTCAGAAGAAAGATAAAATAAAAAATATATACTAGCAATAATAAAATAAATGAAAACAAATGATAAAAAAGAAACAATAAATTACGTACAAATAGTAAAATAATGAGAAATAAAATAAAAATAATGAAAAACGAAAAAAATTAAAAAAGGATCAAATTGAGTGAAATTGGAATTTATTGACCGAAATGAATTTTAAAAGTGAACTGCAATTGAAAATAAACAAAATTAGGGGGTTAATTCATGAAATATAAAAAGTGTAAACGATGACCAAATTGAATAAATCGACAATCCAAGGGCCAGATTGCATACAGTGACCAAAATGAATTGCGCTTCAAAGTATGGGGATGGCGGAAAGAATTGAATTATCCCCTAATTACACCCAAGCCCCTCGCTTATATATACCCCAAAACCCACATATATCCTCATTTCACTCGGTTTAGAGAAGAAAAAAAAAATACTCCCTTTAAACTCTCAACATTTCTCCCAGTCATCCCCTCCAATGGGAACCCCACCGTGCCAGCCTTCACCGGAAATCGCTCCGGCCGCCACCACTGACGGCCGGACAACCCCAAAAGCTCACCGAGTACCCTTCTCATAACCTTGAATGCGAAATCAAATCCCAAATCGCCTAAAACTACCCCGAACGAAGTAGATCTGACTCGAAAGGTTCGGCCTTTTTATCTTCCTTGCCGGTGACCCTTCACTTTTCGAGCCCAGACCGGTGCCTCTCCCTTCTTTTGTAAGCAATATGTCCCTTGTGTTGGGGCTTTTTATTTTTGGTTTATGTTTGATTGTTGTTTCCCGACATTGGTTGTGTTATGTATTTGGTACTGTTGGGTGTTTGGTTTACTGTTATCTTTTGTGTTCATGGTTTTTGTGGCCGTTGTTTTCGTGATGGTGTTTCCCTCGGTTTAATGTGTTTATGCTTCGGTGATTTTCATGGATTCTCTCTCGGTTCTGTGTTCTGTTCGTTTTTGTTGCCCATCGTAGATGGCTTGATATTTATAGGCTCTCGTTGGGGGCCTTCTCGGTGATCTCGAATGGTTCAGTTCGAGTAGCTCCGATTTTGGTGTTGTACGCCGCCGAGATCCTTGATTAACCGGTGACTTCAAATCTTCTGGAATGCTTGATCTCGACCGTTGGATTGGGTCAGATCCAATGGTCCAAGATCATATGCGGCGCTGTGCTTGTTATCTTGATAGATTAGGGTTTTACAACCCTAATAGACCTGGGCTGGTTGGACGTGGACCCTTATTGGACTTGGACCCTAGACCAGAAAAATAAAAAGAAAAAAATAAATAAGAAAAATAATAATTAAAAGAATAATAATAATAATAATAATAAAATATAATAAATAATATATAATATATAAAAATATTTTCAAAAAACTATATAATATATATTTTTTAAAATATTTAAAAAAACTATATATTATATATTTAAAAATATTTTCAAAATTATATATTATATAATTTTCAAAAATGTTTTAAAATTATATATTATATAAATGTTTTAAAAATGTTTTTTTAAATATATATATTATATTCAAAAATGTTTTAAAACTATATATTATATAAATGTTTTAAAAATGATTTCAAAACTATATATTATATATATATATATTCAAAATGTTTTCAAAAACTATATAATATATATATATATATATATATATATTTTAAAATGTTTTCAAAAATCATATATTATATATGTTTCCAATAAAGTTTTCCAAAAATTATATAAAATATATTTCCAAAAACCGTTTTCAAAATTATATATATATATTGTATGTATTTCAAAACATTCGCAAACTATATAATATATATATACATATAGATTTATATGTATATATATAAAAAATATGAACGAAAATGAGTGTCTACAAATGTTAATAAATTTATATGATTATAATGCGAAAAATATCATTAGGTTTATTGTTTACTCTTTAAAAAAAGTTAGAAAATGTTTTATTATCTCAACTGATTATATATTAATATCAAAATATGTAACAAAGTATTAGAATGCTTATCTAAATATTATAGCTTTTTAATATTTATCAAAAACCTATAACTAAATACCAAAAACTAAAAATATTCAAATTCAAATTAAAATTTATGAAAAATATAAAATTTGTCAAATTAATAAGTTACAAGTTTTGTTTTATATAGAAGCATTAATTTTTTTGGGTAAACTACGCCAATAGTCATTGATGTTTGGGTAAGTTTTCTTTTTCACCACTATTGTTTCAAAAGTTATAAATTGGTCACTAATGTTATTGTTTGTGACAAATTGGTCAATCGCCGTTAACAGCCGTTAAGAGACGTCACGGAAATCACACGTGGACCGTTAGTTGCTTACTTGGATGGTTTACCACCCTTTTGACCGGTGTTTTACCAAATATTTAATGAAAATTTAATTAATAAAATTAAATGAAAAATCTCAAAACCACCATTAGATTGAGGATGAAATATTAAGTTAACCCAAAGCAGAGGGGAGGGGAAATGGCTTCGGGATTCTCCGACGGTGGCTGGGATTTTTACAGTGGATTAACCGGCAAATCTGTGGGTAGCACTGGCAGCATGAACAACAACAAAGCGACTACACCGTACCGAACACAGGTCCCCGGAATGTTCAGGACCCGACGTCTCAGATCATGAACTGAGCGGTGCTTGGCCTTATCGGGAAGCGAACACTAACGAAGTTTCAAACGTAAAATCTCCTTAACAATCATCCTGCCCACCTTTATCTCCATTCAGCTAAGCCCAAAACTTACCATCACACTTCTCCAATTTCTCTCTTGTGCAAAGGATGGTAAATGTTCTTCAATAGGGAATGATGGCGGAGCTGTATTTCGGGTTATCGCGGATGGAGGAGATGGTGCTAACACCACTGGAAAACTTGGAGCCAAGGTTGGTAAATTTTCTTCAATAGGAAATGGTGGCGGAGCTGTATTTTGGGTTCGCGCGGATTGAGGAGATGGTGGCAACACCACTGGAATACTAGGAGCCAACAATGGTAAATGTTCTTCAATAGGGAATGGTGGTGGAGCTGTATTTTGGGCTCGCACTGATGGAGGAGATGGTGGCAACACCACTGGAATTCTTGGAGCCAACAATGGTAAATTTTCTTCAATAGGGAATGGTGGCGGAGCTGTATTTTGAGGCGTCGGTTCCATTGAATTAATTGGCGATGAGGAATGTGCATCCCCTTCGGTCGTTTCAGGCACCGAGACTGGCATTAGTGGTGGCAAAGCAGGAGGAGAATGTAAATCTGATTATGGATTGTCAAGAAAGAAACTTCAATAAAAAGTCTCGAGAACAAGAACATTTGGTACCGCAAAATGGAAGTTACCATTCGACTGAGGTGGCATGCTTGGCGCAAAGCTTCTTTGTTTAACAGCACCAGGTATTCCTTCTGTAGGCGAAAAACTCGAAAACTCCGCCGGAGATGGGGATGCATTGTACCCTGAAACAAGCGAAAAAAGATGAATATATTCGGCGTATTTTCAACCAAGTGAACACCAATTTGAATTTCAACATGCAACAATTGGTTTATACTTATTACAGAAATCATGAGTGAGGATTGTAATCATAAGATCAAATTGCATTTCATCCTCTGGTTTTGGGTTTTTCCATTTAATTTTATTAATTAAATTTTCATTAAATATTTAGTAAAACACCGGTCAAAGAGGCGGTCAACCATCCAGGTAAGCAGCTAACGGTCCACGTGTGATTTCCGTGACGTTTCTTAACGGCTGTTAACGGCGAGTGACCGATTTGTCATAAACGATAACATTAGTGATCGATTTGTAACTTTTGAAACATTAATGGTTAAAACAAAACTTACGCAAACATCAGTAACCATTGACGTAGTTTACCTTTTTTTTGATAAAATGTTGGAAATTTCGGTGCTTTTAGTAAATCATGCTTCGATATTAGTGAGTTAACTTTAAATTAGTTGGGTTACTAATTATTTAGTTAATGATTTGTTCTAATTTACATTAGTTATAACACCATAATTATCCATTTAAGATTTGTTTAATCATTAATTTTGATATACACTCCTTATAATCGTAGCCATAGTTGAAAATTGTAAGTTTTATACCAGTAATAGTAATAGTATATTAAGAATTTGAAAAATCATATTTTTCATTTAGTTTCTTTTAAAAAATTAACGTGATTATAAAGTAATATTTATTTTAAACACTCTCAATCATTTTGTTTAATGCATAGCTTCTTTTGAGTTGTTTGGAGCTACGCAAGGATGGATCGAGGGGGCGAGAGGGGCAGTCGCCCACATGAAAATCTAAAATTACCATATTTTTCTATGTATTTCTTATTGAAAATCTGTTTCGTCTCCTAGAATTTTAGTTCGCCCCCGAAATTTTAGTTCATCCCCTTGAGTTTAAGTTTGTCATCTAACATAAAATCGTGCATCTCTCCCCCACTACAACAAAATTGATCTATAGCGGCATATATAGTGGCGTTTTGAATGTAAACGCCACTAAATTTATAGATATCGCGGCGTTTTTAGGCAAAACGCCACAAAATGGTAAACATTAACGACACTTGTACAAAAATGTTGCTACAGGCTCACACTGTAGTGGTGTTTTTCAACAAACGCCCCTACGGAACCATATTATAGTGGCATTTTTAGACAAACGTCGTTAAAAACTCATAGGTTAGTGGCATTTTTTGACAAACACTGCAACATACTCATATTTTAGTGGCAATTATTAAATAAACGCCGCTATTTATCCGGACATTAGTGGTATTTTTGCTAACAAACGTCGTTATTAGTCCCCGAACCTTTATTCATTTTCTATTTTCTCCTTTACATGTTTTGAGGGCTTCACTCCCGGTCTCCGCTATTTTTCTCCTTTACACATTTCTAATCCCTAACCCATCACAACTACCGTACCGCAACCACCAGCAGAAGCTACCATCGTCGTCGTCGCACTCTTCCCACCAACCACCAGGTGTGCCTTTCTTCTTCGTCGCACACTTCTTTTTTAGGGCGTTTATGTGTTTTTGATACGCGAAAACTTTGGGTGTTTCTCTATTTTTCATAAGCAACCACCAGGCATTTTCTTTTGGGCCTTGTTGGGTGGAGAAGAAGATGATGAAATGAATGAATTGGGGAATCCGTGAACTTTGTTTCTTTTGTTTTGCTTTCACTTGATCCATAGATTGATAATTTTGTATGCATTCACTTTAGCTTGCAAATATCATAACATGGAATCTTCGCCTTGGAATCATCATTGCATTGAAACTCGAAAGCTCATACTTGTTTAACTGTTGGTTGTCTAAAAAAGCAAAAAGACATGCTTTTGATTAAAATTGTTTTTTCTTTTATGTTGTGGTAAATGATAACACTTGTAGAAGTATTTGTTTCTACATTTTCTAGGTAAAAAAATCCATCATTTTGATTTTCCCCAAATTTTAGTTACCTAATATTGATTCAAATTGGTGACTGCAATGACAATATAAATTTGTGATTTTCCTACTGTGCGTCTCCATCAGCGCCAACCACCATCACGCAGCCACCACCACCAGCAAAGCATAACGTCGTAGTTGCTAGTCTCCATCGCCATTCATCATTCTACCAGGTAACACACTCTACTTCTTTTCCTCTTTATCCATACATATAATTTTGAGTTTTTTTCTGTTGTTATGGTCTATCTTCTGAATTGTATGAATGATTTTGTCATATGTCTAATATTTGTGTGCATTTTTGAAGTAAACTTGATATGTACATGCATCATGATTCTGATTTTGAATCATGAAAGCATGGTATACTTATTATGTTGCATTTGGAAGAATTTTGAAGGTCGTATCTGTGTGTCAAACACAAGTGTTGGAAATAGGGTACCTTGATAAAAATAAAGTGTTGAATCAACATAAGTAATAACCATCTTTTTGTGTGATTGGTTTTTATTGTTTTTAGTTAACATAGGAAACCAAGTTTTAATATTTGTTTTTAGTTAACTAATGGAGTTGATTTTATGAAGTTTAAGTTAGATATAGTTTACACCCTATTAGTTTCTATTTGAGATGACAACTTGTTTCTGTCATCAACATATTCCAATTTACCAAGGAAGGGTTTACATTTGGAACCTGTATGTATGATGATCAACCATATAAATTGCAACTTGATGTGAACTGTAACTTCAGCATGTATGTTCGAGTTTTGTAGACTTGCATCAAGTTGTTTCATAAAATGGAAGGTCAATTTAAACATATTAAAGCAAGCGTTAGGAAAGAAATGGAGACACCACAAGAGTTTCTTAAAAAAGAAATATTTTAAGAACAATCTCAGCCTTTAAGGAAAGCTACAAAATGTCCCACTTGGAATGTTCATATATCAATGGGAAGATACAGTCAGGTTTTGGAGTTCAAAGAAAGGAGAGGTATGACACACTTTAAAAATAATATTATCACTATATTATTGACTTTATAAGTCATGTGGAGTTCAAACTGTAGGACCGAGAGCACGTTGGTATTGCTAACAGACAACGACAAAAGTTTACTCACACTACTGGATCGAAGAGCTTTGCTCGTGTAGCTCATGAACATGTATTCTTTTTTTAATTATGATTATTCATATAGTCATTTTAAGTTGGTAGCATATAATAATTAACATTTTTTCTATTATTCATTACTTTTTTATAAGTATTAATTTATATTCTACATTGTAGGAAATCACGTTTAGCAATAGAGTTGGACGAATAAAGCTCTTCGAAATGACACATACAAAAAAAGATGGTTCTCATATGGCTCTTAAAGCTACAAAAATTATGGTATATTTACTGGACATAAAATTTGCATTATGTTATATTTATAGTATAACATTTTTATTTTAAATAATTTTTGAATTTGTTCTAAATTCTTAATTGATTATCAAGAAAAATTGAGTGATAAAAGGGTAGAGTATGAAGCTATGGCTTCATCCCATGCTTCTATTGATGCGGACGAGATTGAAAATCAAGTTATTGCTGAAGTTTTCGGTCATGAAAGATATGGTCAAGTTCGTTGTCAGAGATCATTCGTTACTCCAACCAAATATTTTAGATCCAACTCGTCTTAGTACATGCCATCACACAATCGGTATTCTCAACAAGAAGTTAATAAATTAAAACAACAGTTGAGTCAAGTTGTTGGAAAAATTGCTCAAATAAAAGCCGAAGCTGAAGCGAGAGAAGTAGATAGAGAAGAGAGAGAAGCATCATTTCAGAAAAAATATGAAGAACTTCAAAATCAAATTGAAGCTATGAAGCAGATGATGCAACATAATCAAACGAAGAATTCATCATCCTAGGTGTTTTCTTAGGTTAATGCTTTGTTTATGTTATTTAAAAATGTTGAACTACATTATATTTAACTTGGATGTTTGTAAACTTTGATTTATTTATGTTTTTATGTATTATTACTTAATTCGAATCCTAATTAAATTTAAGATGATTATTGGATATTGTTATTGGTTAAATTTGGGTAATACAAAATAGGAAGAAGATATGTTGAAAATTAGTTTCGATTAGCGGCGTTTTAGGGGCAAAACACCACTAACAGAGTGCATATTTGGCGGCATTTTTAGGAAAACAAAATGCCGCTAAATGGCCAACCTATTGCGACGTTTGTGACTAAAAACGCCATTAAATAGCGAACCTATTGCGGGAAAACTCCTATAAATATCAAACCTATTACAGCGTTTGTGCCCAAAAATATCGCTATGGGCGAACCTGTTACGGCGTTTGTATACTAAATTGTCATATATAACCTGACCTTTAGCGGCGTTTTAGTATACAAACGCCACTAATAGTTGTGACGTTTGTATTAGCGACGATTTTTACGGCGTTTTTTTGCGCCAGTAATATTTTTAGCGGTGCTTTTAAATGTCACTATAGGACAAAAAATGCCGCTATAAACCAATTCTAGTGACCGGAGCTATGAATGTGTGCCAAAAAGAATCGATTACTATCAAGTGTAGGTAAAAAATGGCTGAAGCTGGACTTGAAAAAGGTTTGTAAAATTGAAAGCTTGTTTTCCAAGTGGTGCCCTCATAGATTTTAAGAATGATTTTGACAAAATTTGGGGACTGTTAGGAATAGAAAGTTTGGTATAATTTGATTTGACACGTTTTTCATATTCCTCGACAATCTTTGATAATTTGGATAGTCTGAACAGGTTGCCTATAAAGAATATGCTTGATTCTTTTAGTGTTCAAGTTGAGTAGAGTTGTGGATTATTTGTTCTTTGAGTGCTCGTATTTGAAGGAGGTATGGGCCAAGGTTCTAGAGGCTTGAAATCCACTGAGGAGGGTTGGAGGCTGGACTTTTGAGCTTGAGTGGGAGATCAAAAGACTCGAGGATAAGTTTCTTCCGAGTCTTGTTGAAGATTGCGTGAAATTCTGCCATTTACCTTGTTTGGAGAGAGAGAAATAAAAGGATTTTTTAAAGGAAGCATTGTTTAGTGCATGAGCTTATTAAGTAGACGTGAGAGGTGGTTCGAGGGCGGTTGGTAGATAAAAATGTAATAATTTTAGCTCTATTAATAGCAGACTGCTTAGAATGGAATTTGTAGGATGGTAATTTTATCTGAATCTTATGGGTTTCGATATGATCAGGTCAAATTTTTTAAAAAAGTTTGGGTTCGGGTCGGGTTCAGGTGGAGGGTGAAAAAAATCCGACCTGAAGATAATAATGTAACTTCCTTAAAAAATTTATTATTTTTGAAATTAAATCCTTATTTTTTATCAAGTCAGGATGAGTTGGGTCGGATGTATACTCTGAAATCGGGCCGGGTCGGATGTATACTCTAAAATCGGGTCGGGTCGGAGTCAGATGGATGATATAAAATTTTTTAGTCCAATCGGGTGGAGGATATAAAATTTTTTAGTCGAGTTCAGGTGGATACCTATTTTCGGATCGAGTTGGGTGGACCCAAAACCCAACCCTAACTCGACCCATTACCATCCCTAAGAATTTGAGTTAGCTACTGTTCTGACTTGAGTTGTATTGCGAATTTTGTGTTATTGTAGCAAATTGGCTACTCTCGGATAAATAAGTTTTTTACATTTATCCAAAAAAAAGAAAAACATAAAATATATTTCTTAATAATTAACCAGGCATAGCAAGATATTTTAACAGTGGACTAAGCAATAATTTAATAAGACCTAATTTTCTCTCTTGTATTCAAATATAAAACATACTGAATATGTACATCCAGATATGAATACAATGAAATAACTTTTTAAATACTTGAAACTTCAACTCAACTGATTGTCATCTCGTCAGCAAAGCATTTTTGGCTCCAAATTCTATCACCCAACAATAGGGTTGAATGATTATGATCGATTTTATTTTCAATGATATCTTTAGCTCTCATAAAGTATGTTGATTTGTCGAACAAAGAAGCCTTGCCCACATCCTATCTGTGATCACAACTTTATTTTGTTTTTCGATAATTCGCTGCAAATAAAATCATTCAAAAAATCAATTAAACTTTAATCTTAGTAGAAATATTGTTTATTTTTTTGCATCCATTAACGTATATATAAGACTATCCCTTTGTTTTAGTACTATAAGTAGCAATAATGCAAGATTCTTAATGATTAATTATTTTGGAGAATATAATGACTAATTTCATTGTATCCTATTTCTTAAATAATGTTATGTTTCATGAAAAAAAATTAATTTTTGAATAATTTTATCTTGATATATATATATATATTAATCATTTAAACAAAATACAATACTAAATAAAAATTTTGAATAATGAATTATAAATAAATACGTGCATAAAATATGATTGCTGAGATATAAATACTACCTTTTTAAAATTTATTATAAATGTTACTTAAATTTTGATATGATTGTTGAGATATATATACCGATACACTTTATGTTCAATCTTATTTTTTTTTTTTTTTTGCATACAATAATAGGAG